CTCTAATCATAATTGTTACTAGTAAGAACTGAATTAGAGAGCTCTCTAACTGGCATTTTTACTAGTAAGAATTTAATTGTAGAGCTCTCTAATTGAATTGTTACTAGTAAAAATGCAATTAGGACGAGTAACGCTTGGAATATTTTAAGCTAAAACGGCTTGCCATAGATTTTCTTCATATTTGTGTGTATGAGAAGGAGCTCTGTGCAATATTGCGCATCGGTTTGAAAGAAACTCGGCAGATTATTGTAACGTAACGTACGCATGTTGTTAACTAGCCAATGTTATTATACTCAGAAAACGCTGACTTTAAGGTTATCAAAACCCGCTTTCGATTTTTTTCTTTGCAAATTATGTTCAAGTTTCAAATTCAGTAACGTGTGAAATGTTGCCAGTTCTGTATTTGCACTTGCTATTGAAAGCCAAATGTTTATGAGCTTTGCGTGTCTTTCGTTTCAGATTTGTGCCAAATTGAATGTGTTGATATGAAGGGGAACATTTTTATAAAAACATTGCATGATAAGGATTTAATGTGGAGTACAGAAATGGCCTTTGGAATGAAAACGAAAATCAGATCCTTTGTACACAATTATTTTGTCATGAAAGTGGCAAGCCTTAATAGTTTCTCCAGCAAGCCACTGATTTATTATTTTACTTCTTCTGTTGTTGAATCAGAGCCATTTTGAAGAATATTTTTAAAAGACCACACCGATGATGTTGTCAGTGCCAAATTTCTGCCATTGAGCCACTTTTAACTTTCTTTTACAGTATTTCATTTCTTTATACTTTGGGTTATATCAGTAATGAGAGAAAACGATCGATGTGAAGCATTGTTTGAGGTTCTGGAACTGAATGAACACTGTAAAGCACACCATTGTACAACTGTATTTATACAGTAGTCAAATTAGTTATACTGTATGATTCAACAAGTACTGTATGTGTATCCACAAAATAATAAAGACAAATGTCAACACCTGAAAAATTCCATAAATTGAATTTTTCCAATTTATTTTTTCACTTTAGATAGAACACACCTGCGGCTCCCTGATACAAACAGAATAAGCCTTTCGAACTTGACAATCAATTAAAGCATATTCCATTTAATTGTTAATGAATGGGCAGCATTTGCATAAAAATGCAAAAAAGAAGAAGAAAGGATGTGATCAAAGCACTGCTAAATTGTCATTTTTTAAGATTTTATTGCTGCGACACGACTCCCAACAAGGGATCCAGCCTTTTTTGTTATGAGGGTTATATTAAGCACATGTACCATTTTAAGTGTCAGAAGAGTGTGTTTTGCTCTCTGTCTCAATGGACACACACATTTCAAGTGTTTCTATTCAGCAGCTCATGAGTTGAATCATGTGTGGACTGTTGGGAACCTCCAGAAACAGGAATAAAAACCACCAAGCTTCAAAAATACCAGGAATATATTATTTCATTTCAAAGCTGCAATACAAACACACTCATAATTGAATGGAAAAAGATGCAATGCCACAGGAAATCACACGGTTCTCTGCTTCATCTGTGGATAAAGAGAAGAACAGTCTTTAAAATACCCACTGAGTCTGTACAACCCTCTGCACAAAAAAAGTGTGCTTAATTGTATTAAACATACACTTGTAGGGCACTTCAAACCTTAAAACATATAAAAAAATATAATATTAATTAAATAAAAGGCCACTTAAGTGCACTTAAAGAAAGTACCGTGTTTCTTAACACACTTTTAAAAAGTGCACTTCGTAGTAATGTCAAAAATTTTACTTTAAATACATTTTAAATAGTTTTAATAATCATAATGTTGTCATGCTTTAAAGAAGTACATTTATTTAGATGTGTTGACTAACATACTAAAGTAAATGTAAAGTACTTAATTATCATTTTAACTGTTTAACTGTTACTTGCTAAAATGTACTAAATTGCAACTTCATTACAAATATATTCAAATCCAAGGCATACAAGTTTCAACAGAAATGACAATAAAGTATATTTTATTTGATCATATATGCATGTCCGTACATTCAGCAGTACTTTAACTATATTTCAAAGACAATAGAAGGAATTATGAACTTATAAAGATTTATTTAAGTCCTACTTAAGTGGGTCAAAACGTTTAGCTAGTTGCATGTAATATAAATGTACACTATAATACAAGTAGTAAATACTGAGCTCAGAATGACCAAAAAATGTATTGACCTTGACCACCCATGGTACGCTCACCTTTCACCTTTCAAAATCTCTGGGGATTGTGAAACAGGTGCTGTACAGATATGGGACGTCCAGATATGGAAGGTCAAAAGCAGCCCTGGGGAGTTCAAATATGTAAAGTCAAAGGTCAAAAATGGAACCTCCAGGTAGGGTTGGGCCGATAGACAATCCGCCGCATCCCAATACCGTGTTCGGAAAGAAAATGTAGGCGGAACCCCTAAAAGTAATAAATACGAGATGGGAGGAAAATATATATTTCATTATTTTTCCTCGCAGTTATATCATTGGGTAATTATACTACATATATATTTCGGGGATCAGGGAGCCGCTATTATACCTGGCATTGAAACTGGCATCGTACTTTTGAATGCACGATCGCGTTTTAGTTTCACTTTCACTTTCGAGATTAGCGATCGCACATACTCTGTTTATACTATGGAGCTGCAGTACTTACCTCACATTTTACGTGTCGCGCCGCATCAGCTAAAGTCTGTCCACTGGACACTGGACGCGACAAAGTTTTTCAAAAATCATTTGAAATTTGTGTCAGCACGTCATAAATAGAACGCGGCAGCAGTTTACTGTCGGGGATATGTCGCGCAGCGCCGCATCCAGTGTAGACAGCATCACTGATTATAATGAGTTCTATAGACTGATCTATATATAATGAATCTCTGTTATAGATCAGTGGTTCTATAGTATTTTGTCACGCCGCGCTGCTCGCGTCCAGTGTAGACACGGTGTTAGGAATCGTTATTTGTTTTCCCTTATAAGGATTCACACTTCGGGCACACCTCCCTAACCCCCCGCCGCCGCCGATGTCATCGTCTATCGCGATGTTTCACTGTAGACATCGTCTGACCCTACCTCTAGGTGTCAAAGGTCAAAACAGACCCCAGAGGACATGAAAGGTCATGGGCCAACATAGGGACGCCAATAATTCCCAGAGATTATGAAAGGTCAAAAGTGAGCGTGATGTGGGTGGTCAAAGTCAAATGTCACCATCAATCAATTTTTTTGCTCATTCTGTGCTCTGTATTTACTACTTACTACTAATTAATTAATTGCAAATAACTTGCAAGTGTCTGAAAACATGACATTCAGTTCATACTTTAGTACAAAGTATATTATTTCCATACATAAAGTATGCTAAAGTGTGCTTCTTTTTCACACAGGATTGCTTCAGAAAAATATCAAATATCCCAGAATGAGAAAATGTTAATATATTTAAACACCCGGCCATTATATAAGCATATACGTACCACTTCCTTATAGCACACGCTGGTGTTTAGAATGGGCATGAGTGGGCCAAAACAGGTCTGCGTGACAATACCTCGTCTATCTCAGAGTCAGTGGCACCCTGACATCAAAAACCGAGGCTGAATGATCCACCCCACGATCGTCATGACATTACACTGCGGTTATTCGTGAAACAGGAGTGTGTGTGTTTGAGTGGTACTCACACAGGCTAGTCTATGAACTGCTTTGGGAGATGTTAAAAGGTTCTGAACCCGTTCCTGAACCTCCTCCCACAGGTCAGGAGAACCCAAGAGAGAACTGCAGAAAGCATAATTTATCTTAAAAAATAAGGCATCACTATTACAATTGCTCATACTTATGGTCAGTGATTTGAACAAACCCCTTGAACCAATGTATAAGGCAACTCATCCTGCTATGAACATGAATTATACTTCAGATTTTGTGGCATGGATGTGATGCGGAAAGTCTGAGCTTGTTCTACATCAATCGAATCCATTCATGCAACTCTACCTGGGGAACACAGACGCAAACATACCCATTGTTCCTCTGGCGATCCATGCTGGAGTGTCTTGGGCTGGGAGATCCCTCATATCTCTTTAGGGAATGATGACGGCCCACTTCTTCTGCGTAGTCGAGGAGATCATCTGTGTCTGAAGAGTCTTCATCAGCCATCTGAAATAATGACGGGCAATGGCTCATGTCTGGCAACAAGATCTTCATGAGTAAAACAATGAAATATTCAACCAAGTACAGGTTGTAATAGCCTTGTGAAAAGAAGTGCACTTAACTGTATGGAATGTGCACTTGTAGGGTATTTTACTTGTAGGGTACAGTTTAAAACTGTACTTGCAGATAATATAATATTAATTAAATAAATAGCCATTTAAGAGTACTTAAAGAGGGGGCATTTTAATGACTATGTTTCTTAACACACGCAAGTAGACTTTTAAAAAGTGCACATTGTAATAATGTTAAATTAAAGTTTTACTTTAAAGTAAATTTTAAATCATTGTTTTAATAATCTTTTGTCATGCTTTAAAGAAGTACGCTTATTAAGTGTTGACTAACATACTTAAGCACATGTATTTGATTATAATTTTATTTGTAGTGTTACTTAATATTACATTTAATGCTGATATTTATAAATTGCAACTTCATTACAAACATGTTAATTCAAATACATTTAAATACATGGCTTTAACCATATTTCAAAGACAATAGAAGTAAATACACAATGACATATAACAACGAAACACACTAAAGTGATTTACTGTGAATTTAAACTAGAATCCATTTTCATTTACTTGCAACAAACATAGTTAAGTGTCTGAAAACATTACAGTCTGTTCACACAAGTATATTCTTTTAAAGTATATTATTTCCATGAGTACTCTTTAAAAGTGTGCTAAAGAGTATTTCTTTTTCACAAGGGTTGTCCTCATCTGCTGTATCTATTAATCTAGACTGTTTTTTACTTGCAGATCAATATATTTGTTAAAGGGGTCATATGATGCTATTTTAAAGATCATTATTTTGTGTATTTGGTGTAACAGAATATGTTGAACTGCTTTAACGTTCAAAACACATTATTTTTCAAATATTGTACATTGTTGTAGGTCCTCTATGCCCCGCCTCTCTCAAACGCGTCGTTTTCAACAAAGCCCCCTCCTTTGACAAGCCCAGTCTGCTCTGATTGGCCAGCTGACCCAGTGCATTGTGATTGGCCGAACACCACAAGCACGCGTCGTCATATGACCCCTTTAATGGTGTAATAATATAGAGAGGGACAAATAATAATATATAGCTACAACTAACCCAAGGTCTGGAATAGCTGCTTCTTGGGTCTCCTGAAGAAGAAAAAAAAGAGTAAATAGTATACGTTTAGTTTACCAATTAACATTTGGTTGGTTAAACAGAATATGTCCTCTCACACATCACTCAACTTTCAGAGAACTTGTGTAAATCTTATAAAGATCTACAGCATGGACCAATATGACAAATTACATAAAGAGTGTTACAGTGTTCATACTTGATTCTCCTGATTGTTTTGATTGATGCGGTGACAGACTCCTTAATCTGGAGTTTCTGGCAGAGACGGGTGAATAATGGGAAGAGGACCGTCCACGTGACCTCTGAACCAACAGTGGGTCAAGCACACACACAGACTTTCAGGAACTGGAATCAAAGTGTCTTATGAACTTCATCCTACAATAAGATTTTGTGCCCTCTGCTGGCCATCACTAATTCATCAACAAACACAACTACCAACCAGAATCTTTAATGTGCACTTTAATATAGTGTACTTCAAATCTTAAAAAAAGTATATTTAAAAAAAAAAACTTTACTTGCAGATATTGTAATATTAATGAATTAAAATACCACTTAAGTGTACTTAAAGAGAGACACTTTGATGACTAGTTTTTTCACTGTTTTAATAATCTTTTGTCGTGCTTTAAAGCAGTACACTTACTTTGATGTGTTGACTAACATACTAAAGCACATGTAAAGTACTTGATTAGAATTGAACTGTAGTGTGCTATTCAATATATTAAATTAAAAGTGAATACATTTTAAATGTACTAAATTGCAACTTTGTGATAACAAATATATGACAGGTTTCAACAGAAATGACAATCAGGTATATTTTAAGTTTACCATAAATACTTGTCAATACATTCAGCAGTACATCTGAACCATATCTCAAAGACAATAGAAGTAATAATGAAACTACATATAAAGATGTACTTAAATCCCACTTAAGTGGGTCAAAAACACTTTTAAATTCAAATAAATGCATTTGATATATATTTTAATTATAAGACATTTTCATTTATTTGCAAATAACATGCAATTAACGGTCTGAAAACATTGCATTTAGCTCAGACTTAAGTATGCTATTTAAAAATATATTATTTACTCTTTTTAAAAGTATGCTAAAGCGTACTTCTTTTTCACAAGGGCATATATGCAAGTATATACTGCTGTCCTGTCTGTCAAAAAAAAGGGGGGGGGGGGCTGATACCTGATCTCTGTCGCAATTTCTGCTTTCCTGTCTATCAAAAAAAAGGGGGGGGGGGTCTGATACCTGATCTCTGTCGCAATATTCTCTTTGACTGCATGGAGCAAAAGAGAGATGTCTTTGGTGGGATGAGGTGCTGCCCTGTTTCTGTGACTTTTTGGAGGTTTTTCTCATCATTGCCCTCTAAAGATAATAATAAAGTATCTTACAAAACTTCAAAAGCAATCAAGCCAAAAAATCTATATTCAGAATCGATATCTTTACCACAGGAACAGTCAGGAAGTCATTATCACTGGAGATTTCACTGAAGGTTGTCTTTGTGGAGAACTCTAATCTTGGAGAGATTCCCTGAAATTAATCAGTGAATATAAAGACCTTTTTTTCCCCAATTTTAATAATGCAAAAAACTAAATCATTATTGCTGTTGTTAAGCAAATAAATGAGTGTCATACATAAATAAGCACTTACAGGAAAAGTGGGATGCCGTGTCATTAATACGGCTCTCTCTACTCCAGAGAAAGATGGGGCCAGCTTCGGTTCTGGGAAAAGAAAACTTCGAGCATCTTCTTCAAAACTGGCCAGTATTTCTCCAGCTGTAAAAGGGAATAACATTATCTTCAATCTGCAACATGAATCATTTAGTAAAATCTGAGAAATAATATCAGTTGTACCTGGTGGAATCAACTGGATGAGTTCAATTTTCACTGTTTCAACTGAGGAGAAGGAGAAACACGCTTTAATAATAAGCACAGAAGTGTGCTAAATTGTATTGAATGTGCACTTGTAGTGTAGTGTAAGGGGTCATATGATGCTGCTAAAAAGAACATTAATTCTTTAAAAAATGTACTTGCAGATAATATAATAAATAAAAGGCCACTTAAGTGTACTTAAAGAGAGCAGGCTTTCCTGATGTTCCTTATCTACGCAAGTACATTTTTATTATTACATAGGAGAACAAGAGGAGGAGAAAGAAGAAAAAAGCAGCATCTCACACTGCAGGAATTCAGCTATTGCTGCAGGATCGGTGGCATAATTCAGTATCTACAAGAGAGAGAGAAAGATGAGAGTTTGTAAAACAGTGAGGGTTTTTTTAAACTTTATTTAAAATAGACAGAATAATAAAACCACTCCACCTTTTCAAACCTGATTTTCTCCCGGATCAGTAATGGAAACACTGCAGGAAGACATTCCGACTTCCTGTATTTATTCATTAGACTCACACTGATGTAAACATCATCTCTGGCTGGCAGATGCACCCCTGGACAGGTTATCTAAAATTCAGATATGATTAAACTCCATATTCCCAGCTAACAGAATGACACACAACAGTCTGCACTGCATATGGCCGATATACTGAGTCTGTTCATTTGGTTCAGCATTAATTAGTTCCTGTTTAGTCACAGTTCAGTTGATCTCACTAAGCATAATAATGATCAATAATTCCTCACCGCCCTCAGGTGGAGTTCAACGACCACTTTAACTGCTTTGTGAGGCATGCTGTGTCTTATTTTCTCGAGATTATTCATAACATGGTCAATCCAGGAAAGCGTCGGGTTTCCATGGCATCGTGGAAGTTTGGATCACTTCCGAGATTCGGTTCATTCGAACGGTTCATCTTAAAGAATCGGTTCAAACACAACTCAGTGATTATTTTACGCCACGACGTAATGCCGTCATCACGTGGTCCATGACATTCTGCCCTAAGTAAAGTTAATTTGTATTTATTGTAATTATTGACATTTCACGTGTTGTCATTTTCAGCTCATAAAATAAAGTCTTGTTAAGCCTAAATATAATTTTAATTCACCTTAAATATTAATTTAAAATATCTTTGCATGAACATAGGTCGTTTTAAGATGTTATTTATTAACTACTCTTTATGATCGAATATTATGCATGACCGAATATTTGACTAAAAGAAATGTTATTCAAGAACAATTCATTTAGTCATATTCGTGAACCGGTTAAACAGATGAAAAGATTCTCAAAGTAACGAATCGGACTTTTATTTTGAAACAGCCAGTAACCGGAAATTAGATTAGACAAATCATGGGAGTCGTAGTTCTGTAGCTCATTTGTAGTTTACACTACTTTGTCACACTATCAACATTGCATTTAAAAAAAAAACTAAACACATATTGTGTGTGTGTGTATATATATGATGTATTTGTGTATTTCACCAAAAAAAAAAAAAAAAGCTGTTAAATGAAATTGAGAATCCAGAAGGAAATTAGGAGGCTTCTATAATTGTGGACACTATAGCTGCTGACATTAGTGCAATTATATGAATATTATTGCACAGCTGTTTCCATCTGAGCTTCCATATTAAATATAGCAGTTTATTTCACCAGATGTGAGATAAAATGACAGCAGACAAAATTGGTGCATTTGGTTTATATGGTCATTGTCAGGGGTACCAGAAATACAACTGAATGCCAAGATTACAAAACAAAACAATACAAAACTGCAAATAAAACTTGCACTTTCGATTTACAACTTAAAATAAATCTACCATCTACATTCATTTAGGTACAATAATAAAAGTAAACCAAGGTAACAACAGCATATTAGACTTAGCTGATAACAGAATACACTTTAGACCCATTTCTCGTCCGACCAGCGAGTGCTGGACTGCACATGCTAGTTAGAAACCATCTAGAAGAGCAAACGCTCAGAAACATTTGACATGAGCTTGACTAGGGAAGGTCTACATATTATAAATGGACACACAACTGCATACAAGCGGAAATCAATTCGAATTGTAACAGTATCAGTGGCATGTTCATAGCATTAGAGCGTCGTAAGACCGGTGAAAAATGAAAAACTGCTTCTTAGTAAATTCTTAATAAACATCAGAATTGAATGTCAGGCCGAATGATAAAAACACAAAGGAGATATGATAAATTGAAAGCAAAAGTGCATCTGATACTTCAGTTCTGAGAGCGCTAGGCTGCCAGCATGACGTCTATATAGTTTTAAAAGGAAGAAAGAGAGGAGATGAGGGTCGTTTGCTTTTGGCTCTATTCTCCATACACACTCTCGTCACTGTAGGCGATGTAAAGGAAGAAATCTTCTTCGTGATGTTCCTGTGTGTGAGAAAGTGTAATTATAAGAGGAACAAACTGATACTGATGTGGACAAATCAATCAGAGTGAAAGAAGAGCGAGAGATACCTGGTACAGCTGGCCCATGGTGGCGGAGGTCGGGGGAATGACGTTGTTTACGAAGAAGAAGAGAGCATCCTCGGCCCTCAGGTGGATTCGCTTGCGGATGAGAAAGTAAAACTGGCCCACTAAAAAAAATGACAGTTTTGTTTTACTATGCCAACATAAAAATGCTCACTACAAAACAACAAAAACGTATCTTCTTTTGACAGCATTTGCTCTTCTGATTGTAAATGAACATCATTAAAACATCTTTAGAAACGGAAAAGCACTTACCCGTCAGGTCAGAGGGGACCAGGTATTTCTTCTTGTCTAGGTCCCCTATTCTGGCTTTAGGAGCTTTTTCCACAATTACCTAATACAGAATCAAACAAACACTTTTAAGTGTAGAAATTATAGTGTACAGGTAAAGCAAGAGTCCACCCAAAAATGAAAATCAGCTGACAATGTACTCACCCTCAGGCCATCTAAGATATAGATGAGTTTGTATCTTCATCAGAAATGTAGCATTGCATCACTTGCTCACCAGTGGATGCTCTGCAGTGAATGGGTGCCGTCAGAATGAGAGTCCAAACAGCTGATAGAAACATCACAGTAATCCACACCACTCCAGTGCATCTAACATCTTGTGAAGAGAAAAACTGTGTTTATAAGAAAAAAATCCACCAAGATGTTTTTAACTTCAAATCATAGCTTTTGGCTAAAATATAAGTCCTCTATCTATAATATTGTCTCCTCCAGTGAAAATGTTCTCTTGTCTGCATCGGGAGAGAAATCTGCACAGATCAACCACCGTTTAGAAGTCAAAAACAAACAGTCCAAAACATTTTGTGGGTGGATTTTGATGTGAGAGGACAACAGGAGATGGACTTTATCACTGGAGGAAGCGTTATTATGGTTTTTGGCGAGGAGCGATGATTTAAAGTTAAAACGATGGATTTGTTTCTTACAAACATGCATCTTTTCTCTTCACAAGATGTTAGATGCACTGGAGTGGTGTGGATTATTGTGATGTTTCTATCAGCTGTTTGGACTCTCATTCTGACGGCACCCATTCACTGCAGAGCATCCACTGGTGAGCAAGTGATGCAATGCTACATTTCTGATGAAGGTACAAACTCATCTATATCTTGGATGGCCTGAGGGCGAGTACATTTTCAGCAAATTTTCATTTTTGGGTGAACTATTCCCCTAATCTAGCCTTAGGTGAAACTGATATAAACTGCTGGTTTACTTTCAATTAATTGCACTCATTTCTTTCATATTTCAAGCCCACAAAGGGTGATTTTTTTGACTCCGAGCAAAGAGGATCGGAGAGAAGCTGTGCTATTTTTGGTAATTAGGCTGCAGATGAGGAACAAGATTTAAGACCCAAGACTATATTGCTTCTCGGAAATATATTCATGGTTTTTTCTCCCTCACATGTAAAACGTCCATTGCTACCAAAATTAACATGATGTCTCGGAGAAATGCAAATTCTTCAAATCTTGCTTGTAAAACAAAATGAGTGTTTCAAATAAGCCACAAAGCATCTTACAAATAACCTTCTTTTGGTAGTAACAGGTTCAAACAGGAGCAAGAAAGAAAAATACTAAAACTACTGCAATATTTAATTGTTAGAGGATTGCTTGTTTTGTTGTTTTACTGGTTTGGTTGTTTATATGGCAAGCAAAGCCAAACTTGTGGATGTAAACATGTTGACTGAAGGACATCGAGGCTATTTTAGGAATCACTACTTCAACATGGTCCTAAATGTATTATTTTACATCACAAATACAATTTAAATACGACCATCCACACCGCATTACACTACAGGAGGTCTATCTGTCCATAAAGCCTTGAGGATTAAAGCAGACAAAACACAAACCACCTTAACGAGTATTTATCTGTTCGTGTATCAAAGCAGATTTGATCTGAAGAGTGATTTCAAATGTGCATAACGCGAACAGATACTTTATTTGAATAATAATAAAGACGCTGAGATCAACAAGGCCTTCAGCAGTTTCGCCCTTCACGCGCTGCTAAAGCTAAACATGTTTACGTTCGTGTAACTTATACTTACAAAGAGCGAATGAACACATGATGAATTAATTTTTTTTTTTTATGACGGACGAATCGTTTAAATCACGTAGAAACATCACGCCTTTCACGTTTTACTTGTTTGTTTTGCTTCTCATAATGCTAACGCTAGCTTCTGTTTACACGCATCAAACCGACTTACAGGAACCCTGTCTGGATATTTCTTCCTGATTTTCTCTCCCTCCGATCGCCTCTTCTCAAAAGGATGCTCTTCTTTGTATTGAAACTTCATGGTTGTTAAAGGAAGAGTAAGTTAGTCTTGTAAACACACACACAGATGTGTCAGAGGTGTTACCGAGCGCTTCACACACAGCTGCTGAGCTTCCCCGTCTGCGCATTAATACGGACGCACTACATTTACATTATTTTTGTCAACACAAACCCGCATTTTCCCGAGAATCACACATGCAGAAAAAATATTTGAAACATTTGATACAACGCCTATTAAAGGTGATCGATGGTTACTAAAGACGTTTCTGATATCTTGTTATGTGAGGAAGGAACTACTTTTTCGCGTATACAGATATACAAGCGGTGCTCCGGCCAGTCATATGACCGTCTCCTTCACTTCCGGTATGCAAAGTGACGCAGAGCTGTTTTTATTATTAGGAGCAAATCAGGGTTATTATAGTTCACTAAAACTTGATATTAAATAAATGTTAACTGAAATAAAATATTAAAAATACATTTCTCATTTTAATTTGCTTTTAACTTGTACTAAAATAACAAAAACTGAAATTGATAGATAAATAAACATAAAAAAAACTAATTAAAATGACGAAAACACAACAAATTAAAATAAAAACGAAATGATATAAAACGAATTTCATTCATACTAAAATAATACTGGAGAAAATTTGATAATTTAGGTTATGTGCACTCTTTTTGTGTAAATTTTTTTATATTTTGGTATACTCTTGTGTACTTTGTTCTAATAAAACATTACTTAGCTCTCATGACGTG